GCCCTTGCAGGCCTCTAGTCGCTGTTCGGTCTTTCCTCTCGTCTTTTTCCTGCTGACCCCCGTATGTTAGTTCTGGTTTTTGCCTGGTGTCTGTATGGGTCCAGCTTTCGAAAGTCATATGCCCTGTGTCTAGGTATTCTCTCGAGTAATCTGGTACTGGGCAAGGGGGATCGGCGCCTTGAGGTGTCCCGGGAAGGTGGTGATGGTTGGGATTCCACCTGGCCCGGTTGAAGGGATACTGCAAGGGCCCTTGGGCGTTGTTAATCCTAGCGCGGAGCTTCTATGGTCTGGTATACCTTTACTTTCGCTATGCGAAACTTTCTAGCGGGTTGGTTTTGAATTTGGGTTATTGAGGGCGAGCCGGGGACTGGGAGGCACTGGTGACTAGAAATCTGCAAGCGCTGGAGCAAAATGTCCTGTACAATTATTAATGGCAATGTTGACACTTCTTCGGCTCCAGATGTGCATAAGCGCTTCAAGGGCCTGCTCATGACAGTAGAAAATTTCTAGCAGCGCTACTCTGCGTATGGACCAGAAGAATAGCGAGGTTTGGTACGTCAATAGCTGCGGCTGGTGTTTTTAATGGCTTGTATTCGAATATACCTGATTAATCATCAATGGCCATAATGGAAGCTGGGATGGTTGTTTTCCATACCGTCTATCTCATCTTGAGACATCTTCGAGATACAAAATGGATTAGTTTCGTTCTACATGTTTTGGTGGAACAGGAAAATGGAGCTACGTAGGTGAATACTACCACTAGACATATCCTAAACATGTGCATGCTGTGACCAAAAAGATAGCGTGGCTGGTCCTTGTGGAGGATGTACGATGTTCAGAGTGCCTCCCGTCTGCCAAGCATTGCCTCGATAGTACTCAAAGTCGCAGCATATGTTGGACCGCCAGCGTTGCCGATCAGCCATCCAATATCAATACTACGAATACCAAGCAAACAACATGCCAATATCCAGAAAGCGATAGTTTGCGCAGCGTTGTTGACTGCTGGCCCCAGAGTAATAACAATCAGATCCCACCACGGCCTAGGCTAAACGCTTACATATGGAATTCTCCGGTGATCAGAGGACTACATCTGGCTCTAAAGATCGTCAGTTTTCTGAACTCAGTTGTTTTACGCTAGGTGAAGGACACACTGACCACCGCCTGGCATGTAGGTGGAGCCCCTTCACTTTTTTTCATTGCATCTTTATACGATTAATACACAGGATACAGAATCCGCCATTTAAATGTAAAAATTACCAACAAGAATTCTGCCATATACGCGGTTCGCGCCTAGATATTAGCCTGGGAATTACAACAGCAGCGGATACAACTCTAGCCAGCAAGATAACCCGTGGTTGCTGCATATCTCGGCTGCTGCTGAGTGCAGCTACCTGGCCCAGCTCACCTCACTGTACAGTCCTGCTTTCACCAACCTGATCTCAGGTTGCGGCACTAAAAGAGCTTGGCTACGTCCATGGAAGTCCTAAGCAACCCCTTTCCTGCCAATGATCTCTGCATGGCCTGCACTACTCGTCACGCAACTGCTGATGGAAATCTGTGAGAGGAGTGAAACCACGAAACTAGTATCTCAGGGTGCCCCACGGCCCACCTGGTCGTACCAGACACATTCGGTCGTCTCTTGCCACTGTGCTGCTGCGCTTGCTATTATCAGCGCCTAAATAGCTGTGTTTCCAGAGTGCAATGTCTCTCTCGTCAATACTGTGCGTCCACGTATAACAGCTGTTCTGGAGAAAATGTTCAGCCGATTTATCCACCTATGGAAGGATGATCGCTGTGTATTTCAGTGCATGTAGTGGCACATTCCGCAGCTTTGTGATAAGAATATTCCATCTAAAATGCTGTTGGAGCAAAATCGCACATACTCAACGCTGTAACTGAATAAGACAATATTATATTCGCTTTACATGTGTGGGTGGCATGTTGATTCTATTCGCCTACTGACTGATCATCGATCGTCATTGATGAGGAGCGCGACTGCCTACCCACGCCCTCGATATACGGATCTGGATCAGGCTCTTGGCGCTGTGCAGTGTGCTGCACTGCCTGTCTGGACCTTGAGTTAGTCCTGCCCCGCGGCCGACCAACTCGGTTAACGGTGTTTTCCTGGGCATGGAATCTCTCCAAGTACGCTTGATAGGCATGGTACTCTGGTGTTTGCATATACGCTTCCATCTGTTGCTCGTACCGCGCCTTGTCCTGGCGAACACGCTCCTCGTAACGCTCCTTGGACTCCGCATCCAGGGCACGCCACCGCTCGCTTTGGATCTTCGACATATTCCCGAACTCGATGCCCTGGCCCTGCAGCTCCTGGTAGATATCGTCGCGAAACAGCTGGTACGCTGATCGCCATTTTGCAGGGCCATGAATGTCCTTCTTCGGGTGTCGCTTATATTTCCGCTTCGACGATCCAGGTGACTGCGGTGACCGATCCTGTCTGGTTTGCGGGTAGCTTGTCTCCGATGTCGGCAGTCGTGGCGAATGTGGGTCGACACCGGGCCTCCTGTATGGCGACGCCGTGCTGACATGTGAGCTGTGGCGAGACCGTGTTGTACGGCTAGGTGCAGACGACGCTGACGACAGACCGCGCGGCCTTGGGCTAAGCTGACTGGTGGTTATCACGAGGGGCCCAGGCACAAACCCTGCTGGGCCCACAGGCGTTGTGTCTGTGCTCGGCCGGTGGCTAGTCTGGTGTAACGGCGAAGTTGTCAACGGATAGTTTAGAGTGAGGGGCGATGGCCGCTTGTAGGTAAATGTATCACGTGAGGGAGTGCTGAGCGACAGTGGCGGCGACGACATTCTCCCTGGATAGGGGGTCCTACTGGAACCCTCTTGGGCAGGGGTCGTGAATGCAGTTGGCCTCGATACGTCCTGACGCGGCGCACTTGGTGCCTGATCTCTATGGTGGGATTCAGCTGAATCCTCAGCGCCAGACCGGCGTGGGCTGTCTGTCAAACGATACTGGTCCAGTTGTGTGATGCGGGGATGGCCCTGTGTATGGCGTCTCGATACTGGGAGTTCAGGGAATGGGAATGATGTTGATTGCGCGTGGCCAGGGTATGTATCGCCTTCACTCGAGGTAGGCGATATTTCCAAGTCTTGGAATTGGCCAGCTACATAGAGTTTAGTATTCAATAAAAGACAATACATAGTATGCTAAATGACACAAGCATTTTCAGACAACTATTGGCCAAATACTTACAAGGCGAGTGGGCGGGGTGTGGTGAATGTCCGGGATGGCTGTCTCGTTGAATTTGAGCCGGGTAGCAGATGTCCTGGGCTTTCCGCACGAGTATCTATATAAAACAGTGGTGCAAGGTCAGTTGATATGCTTGTCTTTAGATGGGCTATGCAAAGCAAAGCATATTACGCAGAGGAAAAACATGCGTTAAGGTGTTTAATTGCTACTAGCGAGGCAGGGCAGGTAAGGTATCTGGGCGGGAGCAATAGGATAGACCCACGACGTGCAAGATGAAAGGCGGGTTAGGTTGGCAACAATAGTATAAGCGCATCTCAGCATTTTCCGGAATAATGATGCGATGGCAGTGGGAAACTGGCCGCCGCAATACAGCCCTGCTCGCTTCACCCCAACATATATCTGAATAGAGCACGGAAAATGGGCCGCAATAATGCCCTTGGGGCGATTCTGGGACACACATGGCGCCCGAGACAATGCCGGCTTTGACTCTGCTAGATAGAGCTCTGATACGAGGCAAAGAGGAGGGCGCTGATGCGCATCACAAAGTTGCCAAGGCATAAATTGCCGCATTTGGTCGAGCGCACTTCATCCAGCCACCACCATCACCATCAGGGCACGCGACCGGGATATGGACATAGGATTGGCGGCGGACATAGCAGGCTTTGGGCAAGCACCTGCCAATTTGCAAAGCGCAGTGGCCAGCAGCACAAGACATGGAACCAGCAAGGCGCTCACCCGTGCTCTAGTGCGAGCAAGAGTAGAGCTACTCCAAAACATCGTGAATAATGGCTACCGCAACAACACCCAGCTGCACTCACTGCAGAAATGACACTCGCAAACCCCTGGACAAGAGGGAGCGGGACTCAGCAATAGAGCCCTCCCTGCTGCATCTGTTTGGCTTATGCGAGAGGGGTGCAACCACTCTGTGTGGTGCTGCACAGCGCCTGTTTTTGGAACAATGTGGCCCGTGAGAACCGAGAGGCGAGAAACCGAACCAGCCAAGCGACAAACTCTGAGCAGGCTGGGGGAGAAACAAGAAAAGTTGCACTTACCCTCCGGTGCCCACGTTTAACGCCGAGCGCTTCAAAGTCGGCCTCGCGCATTTCAGCAATCTACGGTGTTTTGGCAGAGGAAAAATGGCTGGTTAGTTTGGTATAGTGGGTAAGCACACTCTTTGTGCGCGCTGGTGTGGGGCTACTGAGGTGTGCTGTACTATCATCACTGCAACCGTAGCCATGTACCGAAGGCATCAACCTACCGCCTGAATCCTGTCGAAGCCCTCGCGCTCGAACGTTTCCAAGTACTCCAAGAGGTCAATGTCAGTAAGAAAGTCGCTCAGCTCTTTGGATGTGCGCTCCATGGCCACTCTTCTATCACCAAAGAAAGGAAAGTCAGGTGTGAGATTATTAGCACCAAAACAGCATACTAGGCTGAAAGAACAGGGGAAAGTGTGCAATGGGGGAGTTGCGGCGTACATTCAGCAGCATGGATAATGTGAATGGCACGGCAAACTGGGCCTCGATAGCCTCCCCATGTCTGCTCTGTGGACAGCCGACAAGCAGCCACAGGCAGACCCGGAGCACGTCGTCCCCATTTAAAAACCATCGCCCTACGTGCCGAGGCAGGTATCATTTGTGGATATCGACTGACCAGAGCTACTTTGGAAGATGTGATCACCAGACAGAGAAATGCCGAGCTTCGGCACTAGACCGGCAGTTCTAGCACTGGAGAGTGGCATGGTTCTGTATTTAAATCAGTCCCTTCATTGGCTGCGACTGGAGGCGCATTCTGTCTCCGCCGCAGCCTGTAGGTGATGGCAGCGGCTCCACAGACGAGAAGCCAGCCCAAATTGCCTTCTCTCCAGCGACTTTTTGTCGTTTGCAACATCGAGGAAAAATCTGCACTATACGACTGCAGACCCTGAACATGTATGCACGCACAAAAGTCCCGCAGCTCAAAAGCAGAAAGCTCCCCACCAGAAAAGAACTTGCATCACAGAAGTCATCAGTCGAGCATCAGACCTGTCACAGGCCTGCCTGCACCGCACGTAGCATCAAAAGGTGGCCATTACATACCAGTAAGACCTCTACTAAGAAAGGGGATGAAAAGAGGGGGGGTGAAGGACGAAAAATGTACAGGGATATAAAAAGTTCGAATATAAACTGGGAGGAGAAAAAGGCAGAGAAGAGAACGGAAACAACGGGAATCCAGGGTGGTCGGCCAAAAAAAGATGGTCACATTCGCCAGGTTTTATTTGATACCTGGTCGATTTTTTCCTTCACGCCCTTTGCCCCACCTTCTTGCCCTCCTTGTTTCCGACGGCGACGAAACCCAGCAAGTGCGGCGCCATCATGCCGGAACTGCGGGAAATTGTGCGAGGGAGGGGGTGGCCGAACCCGACCTGAGGGGGTTATGAGGCAGGGAGACCGGCCTCGTCACCATTTATTTTCTATTTAAGAAAACAATGCAATGCGTCGCTGATGCCCAAGGTCGTTTTTCACCATGCGAATAGTAGAAAGAAGGGGGAGGCGCAAAGAAAAACCATACATATTTAGGAGTGAAAAAAAGCGGTGGACACATGTACTGCCGAGCCTTTTCTAAGCCAAATGCTCTGCCCAGACGACATGTACGGCATTTCCATGTTCTATTCAGTGGGTGCTGCCTGACGTTGGCTATTTCCTAGGATATGGGCGATATACCAGCCAATCTGGGTCACTGTCCACTGTGGACCCTGTAGAATTTTATTAAACAGGGTGGTCGTTTGGTGCCTGGGTCTGATACATTCAGCGCATCTCCAGCTCAAGACCAATGGCAGAGCTGTCGTGTCCGTCACTGTTACTGCAGCGCCTGGCCATCTATCATGTGGGAGTACATCGACGCCACGGCCTGGTCCCATGATACGCCGTGTATATATCCCCTCAAGTCGCCATAGCGACGGAGTGCTGAGCATATTTGCTCCTCCCCCTCTTTGGGTCTACTGCTCGGCGACTGGCATTGTAAACAAACCCGCAAGCATAGGCTAATAAGGCGTCGGTGGCAATGAAGCAGGGATGTCCTTTGACAGGCAAATGCAAACAGTGAACGGTTGATTTATTGGAGCAACAGCGAAGTCATGCTTTCCAGCAGCACAATGGGCGAGGGAGGGAGACAAATTGCCGATCTCCTCTCCACACAGTTGGTGATGGCTCCAATGGGGGATCCAGCCGAGGACCGGTCCTGCAACCTGCCATGGGTCCTTTAACTGCATGGCTTGGAGCCGATCCCTCCCTCAAACCCCCGACCATCCATTTCCACGAATGCAAACAAGCGCACATGGCGAAGGGGAATATGCATTTTTAAATTCAGCCCTTGATAATACGATTCACCATATTGAGACATGCCTCAGGCTGATCGCCGGGTGACATGTGGCCAGCGTTCAAGATGACCCAGTGCGACAATCCGCCGCCCTGGCGCATGTAGCCGCTGAGCTCGTTGCCGATCCACCACTGGTCGCGATCCGCCAGCGCAAACTTGTGCTTGTTTGTCCATTCGAGTTCGTTGATCCACAGTGTGTTTCCAGCCACACCGTCCCGGAAATCAAACTGGCCCTGGTTCAGGTTTACGGGCATGCGCTCAAGCAGGTACGGGAACAGCGGAGCGGTGGTGCGCATGATATCCTCCATCAGGTGGTAGTAGACTCCCCAGTCCTTGCCATACGCAATGTCTTCGCTGTGCAGCGCCTTACGCACCACAGGCTGGTTCAGGCCGCGGTCCAGGTACGTACGCTTGTACTGGTGGTTGCGCTGCCGAATATCGTACCAGTTGATGCCACCAGTGACATTCTTGAAGTAGTCGAACATCAGGTTACGCGCATCGGTGCCTCGTGCCAGATCGCCCAGCATTGTATGGTTCAGCGCCTTGAACGCCAGAAAGATCGACTGTGTCCGCCTGGTTCGCATCCAGCAGCCCCCATGCAAACCCAATACCGCCGTGTGCCAGGATCTGTAGCGGCGGATGCACCCAGCTGTTGCCAATGGAGAGCCCCTTTAGGTTGATGCGCTCCGGATGCCCCTCACCAAGCTTCTGGTTCTGCTCGTCAAAGTACACACCTATGGCTGGCACAAACTTGCCGCCATACGACTCGCTGAACACGAAAAACTCGTGCTCGCGCAGCTCGGGCCGGAGCGCATAAAACTCTTGCATGAACTTCCACATGTCTTTGCCGACTGCACGCATGTTGGTGACATACCCGTCCTTGAAGTCGCCTGACTCGTCGTTGCTAAGACCAGCCTTCTCCCAGACGGATCGCTTATCGTCACGCGGCGGCTTTGGGCCAGTGTAGCCCGCGTTGACAAAGTACGCGTCGGCTTCGTCGTACACATGCGGCTTCACAATCTCGCGGATACGGTCCATCTCATCGTAAACAAAGAATTCGTTGACCCGGCTGCCAAAGTTGTATCCCAAGAGGTGGTGAGAATGGCGCGCCGACATTCCGTCGATGAGCCGGTGGACAAATGGATGGAGCTGCGGTGGCCACGCTGCTTTTGGGTGTATCAGCTCGCGCATCACGCTGCGTGCCTCGCCGACAATGTGCTCTGTGGTCATGGGAGAGGATATGGACGCATACTGGTTGGCATCCCCAGGGTACTTTTTCGCGCCAGGTTGCAGCGTTGTCGGGAAGCTGCTTGGCACTCGGATACAGGTCATCTAGCGTCAGATTGACTGGTGGCTGGACAGAGCTGAACCCCGTGCCTACCGGTTGGTCGACCACCAAGAAGTTGTACTCGTTGGCCCAGGTGATGTTACGACGCGTAAACTGCCCGTCATCGGTCAGCTCCAGCGGTCCCATCTCAGTAAACAGACCGATCATGGAGCTCGAGCCGGGCCCGCCCTGGATCCATAGAGCAAGCGGTGGCTTCTCAACCTTGGGCGCAATGGCTGGGAAGTACCAGTAGAACAATTTTGCCGTACCGCTGTTCTCAGCACCGCCGTCGGGTGTGAACTGACGCACGGTGATGTGGCCTGCGTAACTTTCGTGCAGTGGCTGCTCGCCAGCCTTGTAGGGAAGACCTGCAACGCGGTCGTTGGTATATTTGTCCTGGGATGGTGCTGTTGCCGCCGTGGACACAAGCGCCAGCAGCAATGCTGTAGCCGCCTTCGATGCAATTCGGACACGCATTCGGGAAAAATAGCAATACCGAAAAATGTAAACAGAGTGAGAGAAAGCAAGAATGCTTGCAGGCAAAGGCAGCATGAGCTGCAGCACCCAATCCAGTGCGGAATGCAGAGGTGTGGCTCTCAGAGTGAAGGGCAAGCTTGCTTGTTTGCTCAAAAGCGCACATGTGCGATACGCCCACTGATATCCTCAACTGGACATATCCAGAATATATGGGATGCGTGGTACTTGGGCGCTGGTGCGAACACGCATGAATTCTCTTAACACAAGGCCCACACTACAGCCAGTGCGGCCAGCGGTCAGCAGCAACCAATCCTTCGCCCGTACTAAAAAAAGATCTGCACAGCAAGCCCAACAAAAGCGCTGACGCTCTATAAATACAGAATCTGGTGCTTTGCAGTGAAAGCCCTTCAGGTTATTTTTCTCTTTCTCGCTCTTTTTTCCTCACTTTTTGCCTCACCCCCTTTCTGTATAAACAAAAGCATAGAATATGAGAAGCAGCCTGCTGTGGAGAACCGCGCTTGCTGGTTCTGGGGCTCCTCTGCCTCATGGAGCTGTCGTTTGCTCAAGACAGTAAGTTGACCGTATATTCACTCCAGCAACAATGGCTCTTGTTAGCGCCGGAAGGGTAGAGTAAGGTACTAATGGGCTGTGGCTTCCCTCCAATTGTTTGCTGGATCTGTCAACAAATGTAGACAACGACAACAAGGACAGCAAGGACAACAACAACGATGTGTCGCCAACCTCCACGAGAAACACCCGGTCCACACCGACGCCCACGCCTACCAAGTCGAACTCACGGACCAAGGCGGACGATGCAACCAAGGACGATAACAGCGCTACCGATGACAATAAGGACGATAAGGAGAACTCTGATGAGCAGACAGCAGACGAAAATTCTGGAGACCATGCTTCCAGTATCGATGAGGCTGAGATGGAGTCCGAGTTCCCCGATATTGGCACAATCAGTATCACGACTCCTGACGCTGCAGCTGGGGTGTCGGTCATGTTCCCAATCGGTGGTGATGTCGAGATCGGATGGAAGATTTCGAACACCACCTGGCGCCCTCCTAAGAAGATCACAGTTTGCGGGCGTCTCCCACCTGGGTACAACAGGGACACTACTAATCCGTACTCGTGTGACTGGATGATTGCGACCAACACCAGCGGCAGCACTGTCAACGTCACATGGAACACGGTGACCCACGGCCCGCCTGGACTGAGGTTCTGGGAATCTCAGGGCTATTCCCTTTACATTTTCGATAGTGATCTAGGAAGGCCTGCAAACCTCAAGCCTGGTCAGGCAAGGGAAGCAGTGCTGAAGTTCTCGATGTACAACTCGCGTTACCAGCTCTCGAACGAGGGCGTGCCAAAGGGATACAACCCAAGTGCAGCTCCACCATCTGTCAAGGTTCACATGTGGGGGCGTGGTAGGCGTGGTTGCGCTGGCGCTGCTTGGCGTCATGGCCTGATTCCGCAATATCGCCCTTGGTACATTCCTATTCAACATACCCTTTCCTACTTCCTACATAAACATTACACGCACATTTAATGGGTTCCTACACATCTTACATGCACTAGCGACGATAGGCTTCTTTGTTGTGACGGACGAGCGCAAGGGACGCCACCTCCAGCCAGTGTCGGCGCAGAGAAGAAGAGTGCCTCCCCTGGCCTATATTTGGTCCGTCACATCCGATTGTTGTCCTGGCCAAAATGGGGAGTGGCCGGGCTGATGTGTATTGCAAAATTTCTAAATACAACAGCGCAAGGCCGAAAGCCCCTACTGCCCACCGCATTTTGCTGCCTTTCTCTCCGCAGCAGCGAGCTAGCTTGAGCTGTGAGCTGTAAACAGCATTTACTGCAGCGCCTGCTCGCCCTTTTTCCCGGGCCTTCTGGCAGTGAAAAGTCCTGGGGTCGTTTTTCGCCACTTCTCTCTTTCTTCTCCTCTTCGCAAACTTTGTTTTCTCTATCCTGCCTCATATCGTATATCACCTAATATCTCTTCCCATCCCCCGCTCCATCCCTGCTCGCTGTTCAACTCTGCAGGCAACTGGACATATCCTTGTATCTGGCAAATCCTACTAACTTGCAGCCAAACACGCGGGGATTTGTGTAACCATATCATCTCTTACAGAATGGGCTCGACTCACGGAGCGTCGCGCAAGCTGGCACTGGCCCTGCTTGTCTTCTACCTCGCACTAGCGCTATGTGGGTGTATCGTGTCTGCCGCCGACGGTAAGGTCACTTTTTTTTTTGAATCGGCTCTGCTGTTCTCCGCATGTGGTGTTTACTGGTGAGCGAGTGTGAGAAGCCGCATTTTCTCCCCTCCCCACCTGCACTGCTGGTGTGGCATTGTCTTGGGAGGAGGTTTGTTTTTGCTTTTTCTATCGCGGCGGGAGGCGTGGTGGTATTTGGAGAACAGAGTGATCTGGGAGGAGCCAGCACGCCCGCCTGAATATACAGCACCTCTCTCTCCCTGCCACGCTATGACCTAGCGTTAAATCTACACTCCAATGGAGCCTCTATATTGCTAACGCTGAAGCAAGCACTTTGTAGCAGCGACTGATGGTGGAAACGGCCAGGTAGCAGCTGCAAAAGATAGCCCAGCCGATGGCGGGAAACAAACAGGCGGCTCCAGCGAACAACGACCACGCAGTGGCAAAGGATGGCCAGGCAGCATCAAAGGATGTCCAGGCTGATGCTAAGGACACCAAGGCCGAAGGCAAGGACAGCAGTCAGCCAGCGGAGGGTCAGAAAGCACCGGCATCGGGCAACTCGGACGCAAGGGACGCAGCGATCAGCATCAATGCGGCAAACGGCGGCGATTCGGCGAAGCCGTCGGCGACCACCAACGGTTTCGGTATTTCGCTGAACAACAACAACGGCAATTCCGCCACGCCCTCCAAGAGCACCAGCTCCTCGAAGGCCTCCTCATCCAGCAGCAGCAGCAGTTCGAACGGACAGCCGGGCCGAATCGTCATGAAAACCCCGCCCCGGGCCGTCCAGTCGCCGCTATTCGAGATTAACTCCATCGTCAAGCTTGCCTGGGACTACGACGACAACATGAAGAAGGCGCCAAGCAAGATCTCAATTCGGGGGCAGATGCCGAGCACAATTACAGAGCCCGGCACGGGCAAGCCGCTGTACTGGTACATTGCCCAGAATGTCAGCGGTAGTGAGAAGGCGTACGACTGGAACACAGTCACGCAGAGCCCGCCTGGCTACACGCTGAGCGAGGGTGCTGGATACAAGCTGTTCATCTACGATAGTGATATTGGGTGGGAGAACAGCACCAGGGTATCGGCTGGTAAGCTGTTCCAGTTTACGCTGCCGTTCGCCATGTACAACTCGCGGTACGCGCAGTCCAACGATGGTGTGACTTCGAACTATAACCCGAATGCAGCCACTCGTGCAGTATCGCTGACGGTTGGTGCGTGGGCTGTCCATCCTTGGAGCAGTGCTGACAGCCGTTTCATTCTAGCCCCTTCTGCTACAAACTAAACGATCTCTTCCTATATTACCTTTTCTTCCAAATCCATTTTTTCTTTTTGATATAGCATAGAACATGTATGCTGCGGTATACCCAACATCCGGGCCATATGCGCAAAAAGAAAAAAGCCATCGCCATACATTGCAACCTCACTCGCGGTGACAGCATGGTTTGACAAAGCCAACAGCAATTTATTTCAAGCTGCCAGCAATTACTAGAGATATAGATGTAAGGCTACGCACGTTGGCTTAGGCGTAGTTGAGGCGGAAGATGTCGTTGTAGACAAAGAACCCGTTATCGTCAACCAGCTGGAAGCTCTGGGTGTACTGCATGGGCTTCTGCTCATCGTCGATCTGGAGCTGGCCAGTGACGGTAATGACTATGGCAGTGACGCCGGGCAGCGAGGGCTGGGCGTCCATGGTGGTGACCTTGTGGACGACCCGGGTGAACGGCAGGCTCTACAGGGTCACATGATTTAGCAGAGCAGCGCTTGCTTTTAGCTCAGTGGCATGCATATTCGCAAAGCCTCAATGGCGCTTGCTGCCTGCACTATAACTTACCACCAGCTTCTCCACAATATCGTTGGCGCCCTTGAACTGCTGGCCCTCCCACGACATCATCGACACGTCCCTCTACACAAGAGCTGGTGTTTAGTAAATTGGGTGAGCTCGCAAAGCCAAGGGGCTGGGCGCGCTTTCAATTCAGGTTGGAGCTTGGGTTTCAACGTACGTAGAGCGGGGCAAGGCCCTTGCGGTCGGCGTCAAAGGCGCTGTAGTAAAAGTCGACAAACTGCTTCGCAACGGTATCGGCGTCGGCCATGGTTTTCAATGGGGCTGCTACGGATGAGTCTCAAATCGAGAATATGAGAGAGGGTAATTGAGAGGAGAAAAGATGGGCGAAATTCTGGCCTGCTTGCAATACGGCGTATAGGTTTTTCTGCCCGAACCGCAGGCATACGAAATTTTCGGCTAAGGCGTTGGGAGTTGCTTTGCCAACAATCGCCCACGCTCTTCCGCTGTGGCTCACGCTTCGTCGTCGGGACAGCCAACAGTTGGGCTTTTTTCTTCTTTTCTCTGCTTGACTCTAGCAAACAAGAGAACCTTTTATATATTTTATTGCCAACGGCCGCCTGCCCACCACAAGCTCTACATGGACAGCCAGGATTTTTATGTGGGCGATGCAGGCAACACACCAGTCGTACTACGAGTTACAGCGACTTTGGCGGCGACTCGCAATCGCAGCTGCTCGATCCGCTGAGCCAAAATGCAGGCGCAATTTCCACCGACGTTGGCGACACAGAGAGCATTGAAGAGCTGCAGTTCTCACAGCTCTCGCTGGGCGATGCACACAGCCAAGTGTACAGCAGCGTCGGAATCCGATCAAGAGGAAGAGCCGGGCAAGCAGCCCGATCACGCGTGCTCGTACTGCGGGATCCACAACGAAAACAGCGTGGCCAAATGCCTGTCGTGCAAGCGGTGGTTCTGCAACTCGACAGGGAATTCATCGAGCGCGCATATAATCTGGCACTTGGTGAGCGCCCACCACAAGGAGGTGCAGCTGCATCCAGACAGCCCGCTGGGCGACCAGACGCTCGAATGCTACAACTGTGGTGTGCGCAATGTGTTCTCGCTGGGCTTTATCCCGGCAAAGAGCGACACAGTGGTGGTGATTCTGTGCCGCCCGTGCGCATCGGCGCCCTCGTCCAAGGACGCGCTGTGGGACCCAAGCCAGTGGCAGACGCTGATCCACGACAGGAAGTTTGTAAGCTGGCTCATCAAAGTGCCCTCAACCAAGGAGCAGATTGCAGCAAAGGCAGTGTCGGCCCAGCAAATCCGCCATCTGGAGGATGTCTGGACTGGCAATTCGTCAGCAACGCTGGGCAGCGCCGATGCGGACGATGCGGATGTGCAAAAGGTCTTGCTCAGATACGAGGACGCCTACCAGTACCAGAATATATTTGGCCCGCTGGTCAAGATCGAAGCCGACTACGACAGGCGCGCCAAGGAGGCGCAGACGGAAGACGGCATTGCGGTGCGCTGGGCGGACGGGTTGAACCGTCGCAACTGGCGTACTTTCAGCTGCCAAAGTACGAGCTTGGTGAGGTGCGAATCGCAATGGCGACGAGCTGCGCCTGTCTTACT